AGGCTAGTTATATAGCGAAAGTGGCATAAAAGAACTTTGCTCTAGTACAAAGGTAAATGTCATCTTCTTTATTTAAACATGCCCATCCTATTCAAGAGGCTCAAAGAAGATAATATTGTATTGGGGGATTATTGTAGCAAAATTAATTTAAAAAATTACCAGGATGTTTGGTTTACTAGTTTCTAGTACAAAAGTATTTCACACCAAGGACCAATATGTTCAGGGATGCCATGTTTCCCCCCAGTTTATAAAATGTGTTTTAAAGTTATAAATAGATTTCCTTCTAATCAAATAGGGAAGGGGACACTCAGCTAACTCTAGAAAACAGCCAGTTTGGCTCTGGAAGCCAGGGTAGAGTAGTGGTTAGATGACTGGCCCTTGGAGACCAGGGTTCAAATCCCCATTTGGCCACACAAACCCTATCTGCTTTTTAAAGAAACATTAGTCACATATCAGTGTACAATAACAAAAATAGCAAATCCAAATGACATTTAAAAAACATTAAATACAAGCATACTTCATGATAATCTAAAAAATAAGCAAAAACCAACTCCAGTCAGACAGCTCAGCATGCTATCAGCAATTTAAAATGTCATCTCTGTAGTCTAATTTACATGAGCTGCTGAAAGCTACAGAGGAAAAATAAAAATAAAAGCCTTTGAGGCCCACCTAAAAACATCAGTTCCTCTATCAATTCCCTGATCCACAATTAGAGGAGGAAAATGTTAGGAGGGGCCCAGCGACCATAAACTGGGAGCCAGTCCCACTAACACAAAATACCATTTCTGACACGCCCCCCCTCTCTTTTGTAGCTGGGGATGAAGCCTCACCAAGGAAAATTTGCCGCAAGCACACACACGCCGGACCTCTCCAGGGTGCTAAACCTTACCCCTAAATGAGGAGTGGGAAACCTCTGGCCCCCAGGATGCTCACCAGCCGCACCCCCCCCCCCGGCATCGCATCCTCCTTGAGCCTTTTTGCATGGCCGGATTATTCCCCTCCCTCCTCCAGTAATACCCCTTGCTTACCCGAATGGAGAAGGGTGTGTGCCCAAATACCAGCCTACTGTACAAAGGTGAAATTTACACTTCTTGCCCCGCCCACAGCTGGCATGTTCCAATCCCCCACCCCAGAAGGGAATGGGCTGAAAATGGCTCCCCGCCCCAGCCCAAACCATTCAAAGCCCCCTCCCAGATCTGCAGGCGGACTCCCTTCCTTATACACACCCACCCAGCCCACCATCCCTAGTATCCTTCTTCCACTATTAGCGTCTCCTCTTACATACCCCAGATTATCCCCGCATGCCCCTTACCCCCAGATAATCCACACTCCTTCAGCCTTCTAGAAAACCGACATTCCCAACTCCCCCAATCACATCCTTTCTTCAGGCAACGGGGTCCTCTATTTCAAAAGCCCAAACCCTTCCCACTTCCGGTTTCAAGATTGTGTGCCGGGGGGACCGTTCCTAGGAACGGACACGGCACCCTTTCGGCGCCCGCGACCAATAAGAAGCTTCCCCGTAGGTACTCGTGCAATACTCTTCCCCCGCAGGCGGCCAAAACCGCACAGTTCGGTTCCGTCCCTAAAGGGTTGTTGGCCGGAATCTGTCGGGGAAGAGGCGCCCTCCAAAGTGGTAAGAGCCCATTTAGGGGACCTTATGGGGTCGCGATATGAGGGATGGGTGAGTTGTTTTGGATTAGTGCGGGTTTTTTTTAATGGCGACTGATGAACCGGTGAGGGGACGGGGCTGTAGTGAAGTCAGGGCACCCTTGAATGACCCCGGAGGCAGAAAGTAGTGCGGTGGTAATATAAGTTGATATTGTTCATATTTAGTGTGATAGTGCGTGATGGCGAATGCCAATTTTAACCTGCATTCACGGGGGGGGATGTATCCAGTCGAGATATACACGTGCATGCAGCTGTAAATGTGTGGTTGCTTTTTTCAGAAAGGGCTAAAATTAAGAATGGGCAACTGAGGATTCATTTCTTAAAATTATATGTGTGATCTTCAGCCATAGCACCCAGGACAGCACATGGAATAAAACCATAAGTTATAAATACAAGGGCAAAGGGCTGGAGATATGAAGAGAGATTTCACCTGGTGCCAAAAAGATGTTTAGCATGGTAAAGAGGGGAATGAGAGGAGAAATAATCACCATCCTCAAATATCTGAACGGCTGTCACATGGAGGATGGAGCAAGCTTGTTTTCTCCTGCTCCAAAGCGTAGGACCTGAACCAATGGCTTCAAGTTGCAAGAAAGAGGATTCTGACTAACCATCAGGAAGAACTTGGCAAGAGCTGTTTGACACTGGCCATGAGAAGTGATGGACTCTCCTTTCTTGGAGGCTTTTAAACAGAGGTTGAATGGCCATTTGTCATGTATAATCTAGCTGAAATTCCTGCACTGAAGAGGGTTGATGACCCTCGAGGTTCCTTCCAACTCTGTAGTTCTATGATTCTATGCTGTTACCTGGTAGCCCTTCCAAATGTAGGAACATAGCAAGCTGCCTTATATTGGGTCAGGCTATTGGCCCATCTAGCTTGGTATTGTCTGCACTGACTGGCAGTAGCACTCCAGGGTTTGGGGCTGGAGTATCTCCCAGCCCTAGCTGGGAATTGACTCTAGGTCCTTCTTCGTGCAAAGCAGACACTCTACCACTGAGCTATAGCCATTCCCTATAATCAAGGCTATGGTGAAATTTAGGTAATGAGGGGGTGTTGTGGGTGGGAGGTGAGAGATGTCTTTATGTTGTAAGACATAGATAGAGGAAGTATGTAAGATTTTGTATGAACCTTTAAAATAATAATTGTGCATCCAATCTGCTACTCCTGTACATGGCTCAGCAGGCTGCAGGAAGTCACTCTAAGGTGCAGAGGGGAGCACAAAAGTACTTTAGTGCCAGCCAGTTTGAAACTGCCTTGTGGTACATTTGGCAGAAAATCCATCACAGTGGAAATAGTGTGTATGTGGGGTCATTCTGTTGATCTGCAGTCCACTTCTTCATGGGGCCCCATGAGGCTGCATTTTCTCTGTAGGTGAATAATTGGTATCAACTTCTCTGAAAGGCTGAGTGTAGGAGAGGTGGTTTGGGGTTTTTTTTAAGCCAGCCACATTCCTGTACCTTTTACAGCAGTGTGACATGTAGACATTTAGCAGGTGAAAGCTCTTCCTGGCAAAAATTGATAACCAACTCTCATTCAGAGAGTTGAAATTAGTGGAACTACATTACTCACATTTTTCAATTTAAATGGCTCTACTCTGTGTACAGTTTACTCTGAGTAAGACTTTTAAATTTTTCTGTATTACCATTAAAGTGGTACCTTGGGTTACAGACACTTCGGGTTACAGACTCCGCTAACTCAGAAATAGTACCTTGGGTTAAGAGCGTTGCTTCAGGATGAGAACAGAAATTGTGCCGCGGCAGTGGAAGGCCCCATTAGCTAAAGTGGTACCTCAGGTTAAGAACAGTTTCAGGTTAAGAACAGACCTCCGGAACGAATTAAGTTCTTAACCCGAGGTACCACTGTAGTATTATAGCAGTTATATCCCACCCTTTCTCCAAGGAATTCAAAGTGGTGTACATACTCCCCCCCCCTTAATTTAAGCCCCACAACAACACTGTGAGGTGGGTTAGCACTGAGAGGCGGTGACTGGCCCAAAGTCATCCACTGAACTTAATGGCTGAGTGGGGATTTGAACCCTGGTCTCCATCACGCTAACCACTACACCACATGGTTTGCCAAACTTTCCCTGTATCCATATACCACCTTTCCTCCAAGGAACTCAGTGGTGGCATACACAGTTCTCTCCCCCTTAACCATTGTTTTCCTTGCAAAACTCCTTTGATGTAGGTTAGGCTGAGAGACTGTGACTGACCAAAGGCTTCATCGCTGAGTGGGAAGTTGAACCCAGGTCCTCATCTGACATTCTAATCACTGCACCACACTTCTGTGGACTAGCATTGGATACAATGCACAGAGAAAATCCATATGTTTGGGTTGCTGTTGGGGTGTGGTGCATGGGGGTATGTGTCAGCTACATGGCCAATCCTGCCCCCACTGATGGAAGTTGTAGTTCAGCAGCCTCTAGAAAATCATACAGGCTAGCCACCCCTAATATACAGGATCAGGATGTGTGACTATAAAGGAACCCAAAGTCAGAAATAGCCAGATGTTTTGCTTCTATTTTGTCTATTTTGTCTAAGAGTCACTGGGCTGAGATTAATAGTTTAAGCAAAATCTTAATTTCCACCTTTTTAAGGCCCCTTGTGCTTAATGAGGGTGATTTCTGTATAAGCATCCTCAGGATTTATTTAATTCCATTTATTAATCAGTTCCAATAAAATATTTCAAAGCCATTTCACAGTAAAAAGATTGTACTGCATGTTCCCTGGGGTAGTCAAAAGTCTTGGCCAGGAACTCTGACATGATCTAACTCTGAATTGTTTAATACTACTAGATCAGAAATGTAACTGCTTAAATTCATCCATTCCTGAAGACAAAATAGTTTTGAATTTTTTTTAAGGCTTCCTAAATACTTTCACATTCATTGTGAAACAAATGTGAGGTTTGATAATACCGGGGAGAGAGAGTTCTACAGGAATTAGCTCCTCATTCATTGCTGATCACTAGATTGGCTGCTTTTAAAAAAGCAGAGTAAGATCTACTTCCAATCCAAACTTATTACATATTGCTAATTTCAATAGCACCTTTTTAATTTATATGTAACTCTGGTTTCCTCTTCACAACAACTCAACCCTGCTGTATAAAGGTAACAGCCCCATCCATTGCTCCATCCACTTTTTTGCCAGTGCCTGTACACATATTTTGCCCCAGACCATGTCCTTCAGTGGCACATGGCCCCCAAAGCTTGCCCAGGGGAGAATGTGGCCCTTTCCTTGGAAAAGTTTGACCACTGCTGCAGTAGGTGGAGAAACCCAGCCTGATGGATGGGGTAATTAATTATTATTATTATTATTATTATTAATTATTATTATTATTATTATTAGCTGGTGCCAGCTTTGTACTGTGGAGTCTGCTCACATGATGAAGAGATCCGCTTAGAAGCCATTTTGGCATATAATTTAATAATCCATTTGTGCGGCAAGCTAAACTCCACACACACAATCACACACCCTAAAGCCAGGCCGTTATCTGGAGAGTTAGAGCCTCCCTTCCCAGGAATATACAATCTGACTATTTTAACAAACTGGAATTTTCAGATCGCCTCTACACAGCTGCCTGTCCCTTCAGCCTGGCGGGGGGGGGGCAGGGAAGCTACCTGAAATCTTTCTGTTGGAGAAAAAAGCACCCTCCTAAAAACGTCCCCTTAAAGATAAAAGCAGCTGACTTGAGAACAGGCTACTCCCCTCACTTTGAAACTGGAGCTCTGGAGCATCGCCTTCTTCTGTCTCTTGTTCCATACCCGTTCCCATAGCAACCCTCTCCCAGTTAATCTGCTGCAAGGAGCTTCTACATTAAGTCAGGAGTACACATACAAAAGGAGGAAAAGGCTTTGAGGGCTTACTGTTTTGCTCCCTTCCCACAAAAAAAGTATCTGTGGATTTAAAAAAAATATATTATTTTTAAAATAGCAGAATTTTCTACAAAAAGATTCTAAAAGCCAACAGCCTCCCAGAGCTATCCTTTAAAAAGAATCCCGAAAGCCACAACTCCCCCACCTGCACCTCAAAAGGCTGCTTAATGAATAGTTAAAATCTTTGGCTATGAATATCTCCAGATCTGAAGGTCTTCCCACTGTGTCTGCTGCAGAGATCAGTCCGTTTCGAAAAGAGGGAAAGAACTGAAGGCAGTTTAGCAGGGCGCTCATCGTGGTAGGGGCAGACGAATCCAGCCCCTGGCAGATTACAGGTCAGATGTGCCACAGGCAGCCACACTCGGAGACTGGCTCGTAACAGATCCCCGTCTTAGTCTCTTTGTTCAGTATCAAGCCAGGAAAAACCACGTTCACAAGCCAAAATAGTCCCAGGACAGAGAAAAATGCTATAAAGGGGGGTGGGGGTGGATGCCATTAGAAGAAAAAATAGCACACTTTTGAATTTGCTGTGCAAGTGCAAAATATCAGGAAAGACCCAAAACATTTTAGCTTTCTTTTCATTTGTTAAAGCTACTAGTCCTCACAATAGTGAAAAAACAACCATGTGTGTGCGCGCAGGTGGAAAGTCAATCTTTTGTGTGCATGCATAAGGGTAAATGCAACTTGCTTTTTCTCTTTTGCCTAAATATTTGCTAAAACTCCCAAAACGGAACACATCAGCGTCTAAGCTTTCGGATAGGCTTGTTTAAATAAGCATGTTTTGAGTAGGCACTGAAAAGAGTACAGTGAAGGTGCCTGCCTGGTGTCAATAGGCAAGTAGTTCCAAAGTATAGGTGCCCCCACACTAAAAAAATTTTTTTTTACAACTGCGGAACAAGTATTATGTGGAACCTGTAGCAGACTGAAGCAGTCAGGTCAGTGCATATGGGGTAAGATGCTTCTGCAAATTCAACTGTTAAGACTGAATAGGTGAGTCCTGCAACAAACTAAGGTCAAAAATGAAGGGGGAAATGACAGAGAGAAAGAATGTGTATGGCTTCAAACTGCAAAAAAGTGAAAAACAAGTACAGTGGTACCTCGGGTTACATACGCTTCAGGTTACAGACTCCACTAACCCAGAAATAGTGCTTCAGGTTAAGAACTTTGCTTCAGGATGAGAACAGAAATCGTGCTCCGGCGGCACGGCGGCAGCAGGAGGCCCCATTAGCTAAAGTGGTGCTGCAGGTTAAGAACAGTTTCAGGTGAAGAACGGACCCCCGGAATGAATTAAGTACTTAACCCGAGGTACACTGTAGTCACACCTTGAATGTGGCCCAGTAACAAACAGACCACCATTGCAGATCTTGTAAATCTCTGCTTTGTGCCTGCTGCAGTCTGAATAGTTTCGACCCACAAAGTGGATGCTATTAATGTTTAAACCAAAAATCTGCCATGTAAAATGAAAAATATGCATTTAATGTCACAGCCTAATTTTACCTTAGCATGTGGCCCTCCAGATATTATAGGACTCCAGCTTCCACCATCCCTGACTATTGGCCATGCTGATGAGAGTTGTCATCCAAAATATCTGGAGGGCACTGAGTTGAAGAGGAAGGCTGTTTTAGCACAAAGAGGAAGCATGATACCTACCGGTTGATACTAGACTGCTCACCGAGAGAGTCACTGATAAGTAATAAAGCTCAGGGGTGGTTTTGGCCTATGGAAGACACAACAGTCCATTTGTTAGAAAAGGAGCTTTTTTTTTTTTAATGTTAAGGTCCCATCTGCAGACTTGCAATCTAGTGAGACCCCATAAAGGTCAGAATAACAACCCCATGCATTGGGAGCGTGTCCCACTGTCTTCAAGACAGCCTACTCCCAAGTCAGATTGCAGATCAAGTAATAAATACCGGTATATGGAAAGACTGTCAAACCTCGGTGGTCGAATGTAATCCATTCTGGAAGATGGCAAAGTCAATGGAGAAAAAAGAGATAGAAAACTCCCTGGAAGCCATTTGGCTTCCGAAAATCATTCGAAAACCAGAGCAATTACTTCTAGGTTTTTGGCATTCGGGAGCTGAAATGTACGATAACGGAGGCGTTCAGGAACTGCTGTTTGTACTAAAGAGTTATTAAGTTACAGCCCTTCCCTTATGACGTAGGAAGCTTCTTTATTCTGAGTCAGACCATTGGTCCATCCAGCTCAACATGTCTACACTGACTGGCAGCAGCTTTCTGGGGTTTTCAGACAGGGAACATCCCTGAGCCTTCTGCATTCAAGCAAGTGCCAAGTGCCCTACCACTGAGCGATGATATAAGCAGCTCTTGAGCTCCAAAAGCCCTGTGATCAACTCAAGAGCTGCTTATATGAGAGAACAAAACTTGGAATTCCTCCAGCCCAGAATTCCATTTTAAAACAAATTGTGTAGGACCTCTGGTTAGGGCCACCCAAAAGCCTCCCCTTATTCCGCTAGCTTGAGGGGTGGGGTAAGCTTTTCTTTTAGGCATGCCTAAATACAACAGGAAGGGACGTGGGTGGTACTGTGGGTTAAACCACAGAGCCTAGGACTTGCTGATCAGAAGGTCGGTGGTTCGAATCCCCGCAACGGGGGATTGGTTGGTCCCTGCTCCTGCCAACCTAACGGTTCGAAAGCACGTCAAAGTGCAAGTAGATAAATAGGTAACCGCTCCGGTGGGAAGGTAAACGACGTTTCCGTGTGCTGCTTTGGTTTGCCAGAAGCGGCTTAGTGATGCTGGCCACATGACCCGGAAGCTGTACACCAGCTCCCTTGGCCAATAAAGCAAGATGAGCACCACAACCCCAGAGTCGGCCACGACTGGACCTAATGGTCAAGGGTCCCTTTACCTTTACCTTTAAATATAACAGAATCAGCAATTACTCACGCATTGTGTGGCTAAGGCAGTAAATACGATGTTGCAAACTCCTTTTGCAAAAGAGGCACCCCCAAAGATGAAGAAAGTGGTCTTCAGCTCCCATGGAACTGGTTCCAGCATGACCAGAAGCAAAGCCAGCCCTGCAAAGATGGGAGGGGGAGCATTAAGAGTACTAAAAATGCACTTGCACAGAGAAAGGGAGGATACAGGGCTGTTGACAGGTCATGTAGCAAGTTAGGAAGCTGCCTTAGCTGGAGGCAGGCCACTAGCCCATCTAAGTCAGTATTGTCTACACTGACTGGCAGTCGCTCTCCAGGGTTTCAGGCTGGGTTATCTTCCATTCCTCCTGGAGATGTCAAGCACTAAACCTGGAACTGTCTGCATGCAAAGTAGATGATCTGCCACAGAGCTATGGTCATTCCCCTAAACACAAAGTAAAATCCTAGTCCTCATGGTTCTGAATAAAAGGCTGATTTAAACACAGAAAGCTGCAGAGTCAGGCCACTAGTCCATGTAGCTCAGTATTGTCTACAATGACTGGCAGTAGCTCTCCAGGTTTTAGACAGGGGACACCCGCAGCCCAACCTGGAAATGCTGGGGATTGAACCTGGGACTTTCTGCATGCAGAGTTCAGCAGCTGGCTTATGTTTGATGTTTCAAGAAATTGTAGGATATTTCAACTACAAATACACATCACAGAAATACAAAACCTCCAAGTTCCAGCTGCCTTGCTTAACAGCCACAGATTTACCTAGAAGCTTTAAAAATAAAAAAATGCCAGCTGCCATTTCACGTTTCTTGTGGCAATGAGTTTCACAGCTTAATCCAGCATTCTGCAGTGATGCACACCTGGACTCCTAATATTTGCCCCCAGTACTACCTTGATGACAGTGGGCAGCTTCAAGGAAAGGCCCCCAAATGGAGTGTGCAAATGAGCGACAACTCCCAGGTGGTTGTCCCTCTGCCCGTGCAAACCCTCCATTTGGCCCCCGTTCTGTGCACCAAGAGACCCTCAACTGCCTTCAGTATACAACCCCTTAAATTGCACCCTTGCTAGCCTTGACATATTAAAAAAAACATGCAAATTCTGTATGAACAAAATCCTTCTGGGCACATAATTCAGCCCACCAGGCAATGGCAAGAGAGCCAGACAAACCACGGTTTACCCACCAATGGTGAAGAACGTGAAGATGATGCTTCCAACCAGATTGTAGAGGAGGGGCAAACCACAGTAATGAGATGATCTAGGTCTGGAAAAAAAGGGGTTGAGGAACCACTGTGGATCTTGAACCAAATGGTTTGGGTCAATATGTGCTTCTTCATATATAGCCTGGGATGTATACACACCCGAAAGTTTGCCCCAGGGTAATTCCAATGCTTTGCCAAGAAAAGCTTAATTCCTCCACCTGTATAAATTATGCCTATTTCCATATATTTGTCCATTATTTGCATTAATTCATGCTAGTTCAGGGCAACAAGGCTCTTCCTTTGGCAAGTCCTGGTCTCCCTTTTGGTTTCATCCTTGCACTTTTACATCTGCCGTGGCCACCTTACGAACTAGAAACTTGATTCTTGTATCTTTAATCAGAAGCTGTGGGTTCTCTAGATGCTAAATTCTGTGCTGGCTATCGATATCTGTACTCACAGTTGCAGGATACAAATAGCCCTGCTTTTTTGTATATCACAGAGCCAGGAGTGCAGGTTAGGAGCAGAGGAAGCAACCTCGTATCTGGTCATCTGGACCAGTGTTGCCTGCTCTGACTGGCAGCCACTCCGCAGGGGCTCAAGCAGAGAGAGGCCTTCCCCACCACCTTGTAACTGGTGATGCCGGGAGTGGGGTGAGGTTGAACCTTGGACCTTCTGCAACTGCAACTCAGGCTAGAGGCCAAATGCATCTCCTCAAGCCTCTCTCTGAGTCCCTCAGGACTACCTCCTGGGGCAGCCCTCCTTATGCCACTGGGAAAGCGTTTTGTCCCCCAGATGTGGCTGAACTACAACTCCCATCATCCTTGTCCATTGGCTGTGCTTTCTGGAGCTGATGGGAGTTGCAGTCCACATCTGGAAGTTGCAGTCCATCTGGAAGGCCACAGGTTCCCGCACCTGAGCTAGACCAGTGTCGTTTCCTGCAACCGACTTCTCAAGATGTTAGGCAGGGATTCTCCAATTCTTCAAGGACTTTTGCACAGCGCTTGTTGAGAGATCTAAACAGAAGGCAATCCACATCCTTTCCTTTCTGCCAAATGTGGCCCTCCCTCTCTCTCGGAGCCTCTGGCATCCCCTTCCCACACAACACACCCGCTCTCCAGCCCACATCCCTCACTGGCCTTCCTTGAGTGTTTTTGCCTGGTTAGAATGTGTCCTTCCGCACTGTTCATGCCTCTTGCTTGACTGGATAGCATGTGAGTGTGTGCAGAAGCTAGCCTGCGGTGCAAAGGTAAAATTTGCATCTGTTGCTCCGCCCACCACCAGCATGTGGCCCCTGGAAGATTTCCCAGAAGGAGATGCGGCCCTCAAGCTGAAAATGTTTCTCTACCGCTGTTTTACATCAGGAATGAGGAGCCTGAGTCACCCTCCAGAAGTTGTTAGACTCCAACTCTCATCATCCCCAGCCAGCATGACCTGTGGTTTGGGATGATGGGAGTTGTAGTCCAGCAACACCTGGAAGGTGGGCTCTTTCTGCTTTTGATGCACCTTCCTATCACCTTACACAGGGCCTGGTGACCACAGTCCCTGAAGCTGTTAAAGTAACCCCAAAACAGTCCCACAGAAACTTCCCGTTGAATTTTCAGCCCTTCAGGTTTGGAGTTTGAACCCTCAGCCCGTCAAGGGGCGAAAGACCCGATAGCCTCCTTGCCAACAGAGATTTAAACCAATAAAGACACCCAAAACCAATTCCAAAATCTTCATGGGCCAGGCTGCGAGCTCTCTCTTCTCAACGTCACCACCTCGGGATATTCCAGCCAGCTCCCCCCACGTTCTGGAAGGTACGCAAAGGTGTTGAGAGTCGTCGCAAGCAAGACAGGTGGATTTAAAAAAAAATATCAATAGAAATGTCCCTTGCTTTGTACCTTAGCAAGATGTAGAGCTGGAAAATGAAAGCAGCAATTCCAAGGGCAAATATTGCAAACTGCCTAAGGGGGGGGGGAGAGAAAAAACAATGGCATTTGTTTATTTTTATGTTATGGCATCTATATCCCACCTTTCCTTCAAGGAGCTCTAGGTGTGGCGTGCTTGGTTTACATCCTCCCCATTTTTATCCTCACAACAGCCCTGTGGGGTAGGTTAGGTGGAGACACACACCAGAGTCACACCCAGTGACCTTTGTGGCTGAACACGGATTTGAACCCTGGCCTTGCCCAGCTCCTAGCACAGCACTCACAACACGCTGTTACCTGTGGAGGCTGATCCAATAGGGTGCTGTCCCACCAACCTCAGCTTCTCCTCAGGAGGATGGGGAGGAAAATAGAATTCTGTGGCTCTGCTTGTCATTGGCTCTGGCCCCACTTATTGTTCAACTCCCTGCCTTCTGCCCCACTGGTCCCAGTGCACACTAGTCACCTGCCAACCCTTGGGGGAAATCTCCCGCAGTTCCATAGTTCTGGCGGTCACTTGCAAGCAGTGTGATAAGTGGCAGGTTCTTTTTCTTGCAACCCAACCACCGAAGCCATCAAGGAGCAGCTTGGTGGGTAACATTGGACCAGCCTCCTCTCCCCAACCCCATGCTTATCCAGATGCACGTTGCATTGCAGGGGGTTGGACTAGATGACTGTTGGGGATCCCTTCCAACTCCATGATTCTACGATACACCTCCCAACAGCCCCAGCCAGCACAGCCCAAGATGCTGGTACGCCCGAGATAAGGGTTCTTACAGTCTGAGTCGGTGACGCTTTGGGAGCCGTCGGCTGAAGTGGTAGGCTGTGTGAGCTAGGCAGAAATGGATCATAGCGGATCTCCCTAGAACCTGGGGAGGAAGAGCAGAGTCTCCCCTTAGGATCAGTGGGTTGGTTCTTCTGGAAATTTAATGCAAGACCAGAAGCCTACCCAAATACCAGTTCTTTGCCCAACTTTGGCTTTACAGATTTTGGGGGTCAGTCTCCAGGCGCCTCACGCTACATCTCCCATCGGTGTGGTTGGCTGGAGCTGATGGGAGTTGTAGTCCAAAACATCCAGAGGGCACCAGGTTTAAAAGAGGATTGAAACATATTCATGGAGGAGAGGGCATAAGTGGCTACTAGCCGGGATGGTTATGCTCTACAACTAGATATTACTACCCACAATGGCTATGCTCTCCCTCCATGTAGGAAGCAGGATGCTGGTTCCTGTGCTGTTGTGCTGGGGTCATGCTTTGGGTCTCCCCAGAGGCATCTAGCTGGCCACTGCCTCCTCATGGAGCACATAATAGCATATAAAAGGTAAAGGGACCCGTGACCATTAGGTCCAGTCGTGGCCGACTCTGGGGTTGCAGTGCTCATCTCGCTTTATTGGCCGAGAGAGCCGGCATACAACTTCTGGGTCATGTGGCCAGCATGACTAAGCCACTTCTGGCGAACCAGAGCAGTGCACAGAAACGCCGTTTACTTTCCCGCCAGAGTGGTACCTATTTATCTACTTGCACTTTTGATGTGCTTTTGAATTGCTAGGTTGGCAGGAGCAGGGACCGAGCAACTGGAGCTTACCCCGTTGGGGGGATTTGAACCGCCGACCTTCTGATCGGCAAGTCCTAGGCTCTGTGGTTTAACCCACAGCGCCACCCGCGTCCCTTAATAGCATATAAGTAACATTTAATTAAAACAGGGCTTCTCAGAAACGAGTTCTTGAGCGTGTACAGAGCGCCTCTACCTCACAATGCATATTATGTGTGTGGTTATGGTTAGAGACATCTGAGGGAAGGAATGGTATGTATATTTAATATTAGAGTGGAGGTGGGGTGATAATTGCATACATTGGATATTTAGAAATCCTCAACATCCAAGAGAGGTAGTGTTCCTGAGTATGTGAAGAGTTCATATAAGCAGGACTGAGTCTTCCTCCTCATCTACAGAAATCTACAAGGAGGGGGGGGAAACTGACAGCTTCCACCCGGGGGAGACCCCCGGCACAGTTCCGTTAGGGAACTCGGCCCCTTCACCATTTCCTTCCCGTTTTAACCTTACCAGCAGCACCAGATGCCTCGATGAGGTTCAGCACCGCCTGGCCAAGCCGCCGCTTGCAGCCTCTCTGCAGCCGCAGTGGTCGGGCTTTCTCGCCGCCGCCGCCGCCTTCCTCCGGCCCCTGGATCGCCCTCTGCGTGGCCCGCGTAAGCCCCCCGGGGATCGCCGTCCCGCGCGACCGCTGCTCGTTCCGCTAACGGCAGGCGACCCGGTGCAGGCGGCGGCAGGCAGCCGACTGCTGCCTGGGAGCTTTCAGCTTATCGCTCGATCAGGTTACAGGATCGCTTTCATTCATTCCCCCACGTTTCTAGCCCGGGGCGGAGCTCCGAAGACTACAACTCCCATCATCCCTGGATGGGGCTGGTGGGAGTTGAGAGTCCAGCAAACACTCGGGAGGGACCGGCAGGATCCCCATCTCTGAACGAGACCACCCGCTGCCTTTCCTCCACCACAAAACTCTCTTGGCATCTTCTAATGCAAGGACTCTAGCTTCCACCACGGTGGGGCCTAATGGGAGTTGGAGTCCAACAAAAAGTTCCAGTGCAGGGGTTCCAAATCTTTTCTCACTTGACAATTGCTGAGGGTTTTGGTGGAACGCTTAAATTATTATCCCCCCCCCCCTCACTGTAGGAACCGCAGTGCGCTGCTTTGACGTTGGTGGGTTTGCTTGTTTTGCAATGAAGCAGCATGTGAATTTTATGAAATGAAAAAAAATCAGTCAACAAATAGTGGAACTTCAGGTTTGCAGATTAAAGGGCAGTTTTGAAAGTGGGAGTCCAAGGCTTGAGGCCTGTGGGATAGGGCCCAATCCAAAACAGTGTGTTTTCTTTAAGGCCCTGCTGGAATTCTCAGTGATTTATTTACTGCCTGGGTAGCGTTGAAAAGTTGGGCTCTGCAACTGGTTTTGAATAAAACCAGTGTGTTTTCTGATATGTGTTGCGTATGTCTGAAATTGTTCGTATTTTGCTTAAGTTATTCTGATTTTGCTAGAGAAGGGGCAAAAAGCTACAGGGCAACATTGGCAAGCTGCCAGCTACAAATTGGTAAGAGTCTGCGTAATGTTTGCACATTTAACTGTGGCAACGCAGTGCAGTAGAGCTATAGTTCCCTGTGCAAGGTTCGATCCATGGTAGATTTTTGCAAGTGGTGACATGAGAAAAGGACGCAAAGAAGAGCAGAAAAGTAAGAGGAGGTTGAAAGTTACTTCCGGGTTTCGCCGCTTGTGCATGCGCTCAAGATGACGGCATGCGCAGAAGCAGCGAAAAGCGATGCGCGCATGCACGCGCAGACATGCCATCACTAGATACGTTTACCTCTAGATGAGAACAGGGCTCCGGAATGGATCCCATTCGTATCTAGAGGTACCACTATATGTTGTAAACTGCCCTGTGATCTTCAGATAAAAGGTGGCATGTAAAAATAAATAAATAAATAAATAAATAGCCTGGGATCTCCTTCACACAAAAGCAGATTTCCCAACTGATGAGCTACAGTGGTACCTTGGTTCTCAAACGCCTTGGTACTCAAACAACATGGAACCCAAACACTGCAGACCCAGAAGTAAGTGTTCTGGTTTGCCAACTTTTTCTGGAAGCCGAACATGCTCTGTTTTGAGTGTTACATTGATTTGAGTGCCACGCTTCCGTTTTGAGTGATACTGACTCTGACTGAAATCTTACAGAGAACACAGAGAGAAAATGGCTGCTACTTATAAGGAGAATGAGTCACATGTCAGAGTGACTCAACAGTTAGCAGTTAGGCCTGAATAACTTTAGTTGGCCCAAATGATTGTGCAGTCCCAGCACTTCCCAGCCTGCTTTGCTGCTTCTGTTCTCATGTGTCTTTGTCACATGACACAATGATCTCGTTAGATAGTAAAATTCATGTTAAATTGCTGTTTTAGGGGTTGTTTTTAAACAGGCATGGGCAGACTCCAGCCCTCCAGATATTTGGGACTACAAATCCTATCATCCCTAGCTAACAGGACCAGTAGTCAGGGATGATGGAAGTTGTAGTCCCAAACATCTGGAGGGCTGGAGTTTGCCTGTGCCTGTTTTTAAAAGTCTGTAACGGATTAATCCATTTTGCATTACTTTCTATGGGAAAGTGTGCCTTGGTTTTGGAACGCTTTGGTTTTGGAACGGACTTCCAGAATGGATTAAGTTTGAATACCAAGGTACCACTGTACAGTCTTTTGCTCAACCCACGATAGCACAGGAAGCTACCTGGTACTGAGACAGATTGTTGGTGCTGCCTTTTGTGCGTCTGCATGACGGTAACTTCTGCTTAGCCTCTTGTATTTCAGATATATACATATATAATTGCTTCCTTTGAAACTGAAACTGAACTCCTCCCTCTCCTCGCTTGCAGCGTGTGGTGGCGTTGACTCAGGCTTCCCACTGCATCTGTGGCTCCAGCCAAGTCAGATGGAGAATTCGGACGACAGGACTGAGGTGGTGCTCCTGGCCTGCGGGTCCTTTAACCCCATCACCAACATGCACCTCCGACTCTTCGAACTGGCAAGAGACCACCTGCACGAAACAGGTAACCCCTGCTGCTCCTTTGAGGACCAGCTCGGAATCCTACTTTATCAGTCAAATAATAATAATAATTTTTATTTATGCCCCGCCCTCCCCAGCCAAGGCCGGGCTCAGAAATATATACAGAAATAACTGAAATAGTTTGCTGGTTTGTGTCATCGTTTATTTTTTATTTTTTATTGGTTAGGAGGGAGGAGGGAGAGGGCAAAGAAAGCTGGTGGCGAATAATCTATAAAATATTGTTCAGCTGAGCTACACCTTGGGAAGCTGTTAAGTCTCCACCTTTCGTTCACCAGTATACTGCCTTCTTAGAATCATAGAATCATAGAGTTGGAATAGACCACAAGGGCCATCGAGTCCAACCCCCTGCCAAGCAGGAAACACCATCAGAGCACTCCTGACATATGGTTAAGCCTCTGCTTAAAGACCTCCAAAGAAGGAGACTCCACCACACTCCTTGGCAGCAAATTCCACTGTCGAACAGCTCTTACTGTCAGGAAGTTCTTCCTAATGTTTAGGTGGAATCTTCTTTCTTGTAGTTTGGATCCATTGCTCCGTGTCCGCTTCTCTGGAGCAGCAGAAAACAACCTTTCTCCCTCCACTATATGACATCCTTTTATATATTTGAACATGGCTATCATATCACCCCTTAACCTCCTCTTCTCCAGGCTAAATATGCCTAGCTCCCTTAGCCGTTCCTCATAAGGCATCGTTTCCAGGCCTTTGACCATTTTGGTTGCCCTCCTCTGGACACGTTCCAGTTTGTCAGTGTCCTTCTTGAACTGTGGTGCCCAGAACTGGACACAGTACTCCAGGTGAGGTCTGACCAGAGCAGAATACAGTGGCACTATTACTTCCCTTGATCTAGATGCTATACTCCTATTGATGCAGCCCAGAATTGCATTGGCTTTTTTAGCTGCCGCGTCACACTGTTGGCTCATGTCAAGTTTGTGGTCAACCAAGACTCCTAGATCCTTTTCACATGTACTGCTCTCAAGCCAGGTGTCCCCCATCTTGTATTTGTGCCTCTCATTTTTTTTGCCCAAGTGCAATACAGTGGTGCCTCGCAAGACGAAATTAATTCGTTCCGCAAGTCTCTTCGTCTTGCGAGTTTTTCGTCTTGCGATGCACGGTTTCCCATAGGAATGCATTGAAAATCAATTAATGCGTTCCTAGGGAAACCGCCTTCAGACCAGGTCCGGGGACAGTCTGTCCCCCGACCTCTTCTGAAGGCTGGGGGGGGCGAAAGTCTTTGCTCCCCCCGCCTGCATTCAAAAGCCCTCCGGGACAGCGGAGAAACGTGCTGCGTTTCTCCGCTCTCCCGGGAAGGCAGGCAGGGGGAGCAAAGACTTTTGCCCCCGCTGGCCTTCAGAAGAGGTCCAGGACCTCTTCTGAAGGCTGGCGGGGGGCAAAAGTCTTTGCTCCCCCCCTGCCTTCAAAAGATGTCCGCCCAGGGTTCGCAGACCTCTCCGCAAGCAGCGGCAGCGCTGCCGCAGCTTGCGGAGAGTTGCCGGCATGCCGGAACAGCTTTCCGAAGTGGGGCGGCTGGGGCAGGTGTCCCCGCCCCCCCCTCCCCACTTCGGAACAGCTTTCCGAAGTGGGGCGGCTGGGGCAGATGTCCCCGCCCCCCTCCCCACTTCGGAACAGCTTTCCGAAGTGGGGCGGCTGGGGCAGATGTCCCCGCCCCCCCTCCCCGCTTCGGAACAGCTTTCCGAAGTGGGGCGGCTGGGGCAGATGTCCCCGCCCCCCCTCCCCGCTTCGGAACAGCTTTCCGAAGTGGGGCGGCTGGGGCAGATGTCCCCGCCCCCCCTCCCCACTTCGGAACAGCTTTCCGAAGTGGGGCGGCTGGGGCAGGTGTCCCCACCCCCCCCTTCGGAACAGCGTTTTAAAATGCTGGGGGTCGGGAGCGAAGCGCTGCCGACCCCCAGCATTTTTAAAACCTCCCCGGGACACGGGGAGATTTTAAAATGCAGGGGGTCGGCAGCGCTTCGCTCCCGACCCCCAGCATTTTAAAACCTCCCCGGGACACGGGGAGATTTTAAAATGCAGGGGGTCGGCAGCGCTTCGCTCCCGACCCCCAGCATTTTAAAACCTCCCCGGGACACGGGGAGATTTTAAATGCTGGGGGTCGGCAGCGAACCCGACCCCCAGCATTTTAAAATCTCCCCGGGACAGGGGGAGATTTTAAAATGCTGGGGGTCAGCAGCTAACGCTTCGCTCCCGACCCCCAGCATTTTAAAATCTCCCCGGGACAGAGACTTCTCTGCTGTCCCTTGGAGATTTTAAAATGCTGGGGGTCGGCAGCGAACGCTTCGCTCCCGACCCCCAGCATTTTAAAACCTCCCCGGGACACGGGGAGATTTTAAATGCTGGGGGTCGGCAGCGCTTCGCTCCCGACCCCCAGCATTTTAAAACCTCCCCGGGACACGGGGAGATTTTAAATGCTGGGGGTCGGCAGTGAACCCGACCCCCAGCATTTTAAAATCTCCCCGGGACAGGGGGAGATTTTAAAATGCTGGGGGTCAGCAGCTAACGCTTCGCTCCCGACCCCCAGCATTTTAAAATCTCCCCGGGACAGAGACTTTTCTGCTGTCCCTTGGAGATTTTAAAATGCTGGGGGTCGGCAGCGAACGCTTCGCTCCCGCCCGCCAGCATTTTAAGATCGCCCCAGGCAGGCGGGGGGAAGGCAGGCGGGGGGGAGCAAAGACTTTTGCCCCCCGCCGGCCTTCAGAAGAGGTCCTCTTCTGAAGGCCGGCTGTGGGCGAAAGTCTTTGCTCCCGACCGCCAGCATTTCCCTATGGGCTTTCGTCTTGCGATGCAAGCCCATAGGGAAATTCGTCTTGCGAAGCGCCTCCAAAACAGAAAACCCTTTCGTCTTGCGGGTTTTCCGTCTTGCGAGGCATTCGTCTTGCGGGGTACCACTGTACTTTACATTTCTCCCTGTTAAAGTTCATCTTGTTTGTTTTGGCCCAGTTCTCTAATCTGTCAAGGTCGTTTTGAAGTGTGATCCTGTCCTCTGGGGTGTTAGCCACCCCTCCCAGTTTGGTGTCATCTGCAAATTTGATCAGGATGCCCTTGAGTCCATCATCCAAGTCGTTGATAAAGATGTTGAATAAGACCGGGCCCAAGACAGAACCCTGTGGCACCCCACTAGTCACTCTTCTCCAGGATGAAGAGGAACCATTGATGAGCACCCTTTGGGTTCGGTCAGTCAGCCAGTTACAAATCCACTGAGTGGTAGCATAGTCAAGACCGCATTTTACCAGCTTCTTTACAAGAATATCATGGGGCACCTTCTTGAAACACTTGTCACGATGTTATTTCAATACAGTAATAGCTCGGGTTACAGCCGCTTCAGGTTGCATTTTTTCGGCTTGCGGACCACCGAAACCCGGAAGTACCAGAACAGGTTACTCCCAGGTTTCGGTGGTCGCGCGTGCGCAGAAGCACCAAATCGCAGCATGCGCAGACGCGGGTTGTGAACATGCATCCCGCACGGATCATATTCGCAACCCAAGCATCCACTGTACTGGTATTCAACAATATGGCGATTTATTGCACAGCCCTAGTCCATCGTCCCAACAACCCAACCCCCTGGCTCTTGCCTTTTGTTGCATTCAGGGAGATACAAAGTGGTGAAAGGGATCATTTCACCTGTGGGCGATGCATACAAGAAGAAAGGCCTCATCAGCGCAAGACACCGAGTGACTATGGCGAGGCTCGCGACGGAGAGCTCTGACTGGGTGGAAGTGGATGACTGGGAGAGCAACCAAAAGGAGTGGCAAGAGACCATCAAAGTCCTCAGGTATTGCCAGGGCTGGGTGTGTGCCAGTGTAGCTCAGCGGTAGGGCACCCGCTTTGCATTCAGAGGGTCCCAGGTTCAATCCCAGGCATCTCCAGGTAGAGCTGGGAATGTCTCCTGCTTGAATCCCTGCAGAGCCGCTGCCAGTCAGTGTAGACAACACTGAGCTAGATGGAGCAAGGATCTGATTCAGTATACAGCCAACCTTCCAACAAGCTTTTTAAGTGGGGATGTGTCACAGCCTGCATCTGTATTTGAATTACTTTTAGACAATGTTTTTAGATGTTTTCATGGTTTTGAAATCATACCAGACCCTGTTTAGCTTTGTGGTGTGCTATCAGGGTTTTTTTTTTTTTTTGCTGCAACACTAGGTTTTTTTACCGTTTGCCATGCTGGTCTCCTTAGGGAGGAAGGGTGGGATATAAATGCTTAATAATCCTCTCCTCCCCCTCCTTTTTACTTTTTCCTCCCTCTCTATTTTCTCCTCTCTCTTCCCCCCACTTCTCTGCCCCCCCTTCAATCCCACATTGCCTCAAACTGACTGGAAATATCTCAGAAATGTCTCAAACTGACTGTAATTGACCTGTATGAAGGTTTCCACAATATGAAAACAAATATTATGGAAATATTTTAATTAAAACATTTTTTTAAATAGAAATAAAAGCAAATGTTCAATAATGATGATGATACTGTTGTTGTTGTTGTTGTTTTTCTTCTTGTTGTTGTTGTTAATAATAATAAATAGTACAGCTTCCTATGTCTGAAGAGTTGGCCATAGCTCAGTGGTAGAACCCATACTGTGCATGCAGAAGGTTTGAGGTTCATTTTCCTGCAATCCCAGGTAGCTGGATCAATCTCCAGCAGCAGCAGAAATGGAAGCCCTGCCTCCATTCCTCTCCCCTTACTTTGCTGCTTCCCCTCTCTCTGATTCTAGATTGTAAGTCCCCCTGCAAAGTCTATTCTCCTATTGTGTGTTCTAAATCTGGGGTAGAGAGCTGTCTATGATGCACCACGTTAGCTTTCAGCAGCCTGCTGCTCTCTGGATGGTTTGGACTACAGCTCCCATCAGCCCCAAGCAGTGAGGTCATGGTATGCGGGGCTGATGGGAGATGGAGTCCAAAACATCTGGAGGACAGCCAGCCTGGTGAAGGCTGTGCTGTGTGTTCATGCGGTGCTGTATTTGCAATAGATAAGAATGGGGAGGTTTTTCCCCAAGGGATCCAAAAGAGAAAAACATATCACCACACCCTCTTTCGCTTTTTAAACTCATCCTTTTGTGTCACAGGTATCACCAGCAGAAGCTGAAACGTTCGTGTCTCGCTAACAGCTTTGATGAAGTAGCTCCTTTGAACAAAATGGGGCGGAAGAGAAAACGGGAATCGGGCAGGCAAGTCCCCATCAGCCGGAATCAACCCCTAACAAAAGGTTCATTTAATATCAAAATTGTAGTGAGCCAGCCATCTCGTATCCAGCGTTGCTTGGAAATTCTAAGGGGGGAAAACCCAGTGTGGTGTTGAAATCAGGAGTTAAAATCAGTGCAGTTTTGAAAGGTTCAGTCCGCCAAAGAATTGTGGGAAGTGAAGTTTGTTGAAGGTTCTGAGAGTTGTTAGAAGACCTTCTCCCAGAGCCACAGTTCCCAAAAGGATTTAACTATCAATCCCTCTTCCCAGGGAACTCTGGGAATTGTAGTTCTGTGAGGGGAATAGGGGTCTTACTAACAACTCTCAGCACCCTTAACAAACAAAATACAACTCCCATGGTTCTTCGAGGTAATTTGTGACTCTTTAAAATGGCTTCTAACCCAATAATAATTCCTATCCCTCCCATTTTGCTAGGTGTCCCCCCTCAGCTGAAGTTGCTCTGTGGGACAGACATCTTGGAGTCCTTTGCAGTCCCCAACCTCTGGAAAGCAGAAGACATTGTGGAAATCGTGGCCAACCACGGCATGGTGTGTATTAGCAGGGTGGGAAATGACGCCCAGAAATTCATCTACGAATCCGAGGTGCTGTGGAAGCACAAGGAGAGCATCCACGTAGTGCAGGAGTGGATTGCCAATGACATCTCTGCCACCAAGATCCGGAGAGCCTTGCGGAGGGGCCAGAGCATCCGATACCTGGTGCCAGACGCAGTTCGAGCTTACATCAAGCAGCACGACCTGTACACTGCAGAGAGTGAAGATCAGAATTCAGGAGTCATCCTCGCTCCGTTTCAGAGATACATGAGGGAGGCCAAAAATAATTGAAGGCGTGGTGGCGGGGCTGGTCCATATGGGCAGGTGGGGTGCTGGCCTGCCAGCTTCAGTCTTGATTCCTCCAAACCCCTCCTTGCTATAGAGTTCCTGGCTGTCACATTCCTCCTCTTTAGTTTCAGTGATGCCCCTTGTAGAACACAACAGCAAGGAGGATGAAAGCAACATTGGAGTGAGTTGGCTCTGCCTGTCATTGGCTGTGGCTCAGCCTATCATTGGCTCTGCCTCCACTCATCGCTGGATGGCATCACTGAGACTACCTTACGCCCCACCAGTCCCAATGGGCACTAGCCCCCATTGAATTTGAACAATCCATCTTTAGATGGGAGAGGGAGGAGAGAGAGGGAGAGTTTTATCAGCTTGGAGTTTTATTAGTGTGTTTTATCAGCTTAGCATTGTCACAGCCCCCAAAGCCATCCCCATGCATGCCAGGGACTGGGGCCTTATGTAGTTGCCAGATGATGTGTCAAAATCACACACACACAGACACACACAGCTTCTCAGCCTTTCTCAGCATCTTCATCGGTGGAAACCAGCAAGTGATTTTTTTCATGGCACAATTGCCTGAGAGTGCCCATGGGTTGAGCTGAGGATCTGGCTGCTGGTCAAGAGGTTGGCAACCAACCCAACTATGTGAACCTGAATCCCAAGCATTGCAGAGTCTTCTATTTAAACACACGAACAACAGGCCTGATTGTAATGCACCAGCACTTCTCTTCTTTAGGAGAGGCCTGCAGAACTTTGGGCACTGAGGTTGGACAGAACCCTTCTGTTCTTTGCTGTCCCAGGCAGGCAGCGAGACTGGGAGGTTTTTTTGAGCCCACCATGAGCCAGTATATACAACACACGGTGTATCACCACCTGGGTGGACCAGGAGTTGTTCAGGTCTGTTCTGCTGTCCCCTTGAGCTGCTAAGCACCATTGTGCAGCCTCTGGCCTCCCACAGAGGTAAAATCTGCAGAACAACTGTGACTAAAGGGTGGAATGGACACACCCACATCTGATTGAAATCTGGCATCTTGGCAACAAGAGTTGAATGCTTGCTTTATTACTTTGAATTTCTTTGATTCTAAGAATATGTGATTGACTACTCTTCCTGTGTGCAAACTGGTCACATAGCCCTTGTCCACTCTAGATGCCACCTAGAATTTGAAGTGCCTTGCAGGTTCATCAGCTCCTACATTTCACAGAGTGGCATTCTCCTCCTCTTGTTCGTTTGACCCCTGCCCCTCCTTTCCCAACTGTGGTTGCAGACTCCGTTTTGCAGGTAACAATGATGACTGTGAACTGAATGTATCACACTGAGCCTGGTGGTCAGAATTACATTTCCACCAGTTTTAATCCTAACCATGGTTAGCTCAAACCAGAGTTTGCACACCCAGTTCCAACCTAGCTGCAGACTCTGAATTGCAGATAGCTATGGTAAGCTATCAATGCACAGGTAACTATGGCTGGCTCCCAAAGGAAACAGATAAGGGAATATGTGATGAACAGAGGAAAAGCAGGAACCAAGAGGAGGTTTTCCGTCTCCTCTCCAGTTTTCCTCTACATGAATGCATATTGGGAAACGCTTTTCACAGAAAGACTGCATGCCTTTGAATCTTTTAGCTCTGTTGGTTCAGAGCCGCCAACAGAAAAGAAAAGAAAAATCAACAAAGCTTTGGTCCTCTTAAACTTCCATGACTCACACATCAATTGAACAGAATTTTTGTGCATTTCCCCCCAGCACTGTCATGTGATTCAAGAAATAAACTATAGGGGCTATTAAAAGAGATCTCAAAAGATGTTGTAGCATATACCACCGCCACCCTGAGGTGATGTTATTAAATGATACTGGGATTTGCATGAAGAAAGAACATAGAATATTAGTAATTTAATTTAGCTGGAGCAAGAATGTTCCTTGTAAAAACAAGAGGAGAAGAACAACAACAGGAAAAGGAAAAACTGTGACAATGTGTTAGCAACCTGCAATTACTGCCGTTCAACAAAGCAATCACAAGGCGATAATGCATTTATTGTATGTTATATTTTGTAAGATTGGGGAGAATGATCACATACTAGAGAAAGAACAACGCACAAGAAAACCTACAAAGGCTATCAGTGTTGTTATGTTTCACATAATGGGTGTAACAGATGAGGCTTTGTCTTTATTCAGTTACTGAATGTTCTTGTATATCGTGTGTGTACAAATACCCGTTTCAATTTTTGGTGACTTTCTTCTTTACAATTATTATTTTTAAAATGAATAATTAACAGGAACAGAACAGGGTCAAGAGTTTTTTGTTTACGGTCAGCTTTCATTGCAAAATTGCACTTTGCCCTCTCCACAGCTGCACAACCAACTCTTTAAAATCATAATGCTGTAGTGTGAGAGCGTTTGTGTGTGTGCCCCTGCACTTTACCTCTGCAACGCTAGAGAGGCGCTGTGCATGAGCCAGGAGATCAACATGTGATATTTTGATAACTTCCTTACTCAACAAGTTTAGAATATTACAATAAAATCAGTATGACGAAATCAGTTCACAAGCTGTGTGTGTTCCTTTTGCACTGGGATGGAGGGCCTTTCCCTTCTGGGCAACTTTCCTGGGGCCGTATGCCAGTGGTGGGCAGAGCAACAAATATAAATTTTACCTTTGTATAGGGGACTAGTTTGTACACCCACCCACACCCTCGCTTCTCCATGCTCCCATCAAGGCAAGGCAGGAGCATGATCAGAGCTGAAGGACATAGTCCATCCAGGCAGAAATGCATGAGGAGGGGGTGGAGGAAGGACAATGAGAGGCGTGGCCTGGGGGGAGGTGTGGCTTGTCCAGAATCCCAGGGGCCAGATAGACAGGACTGGAGGGCCTCATTTGACACCTGGATCTAAGAAAAAAGCTTTTTTTCCTTGTCAGCGAAACTCACCAAATCAGCTCAGCCAAGCAAGACTATGGGTTATGTTTGGCTAAGGGATATTGCCACTTGAATTTTCAACAAATCCCAAGTCCCTTTATATATTAGAGGGACGAAGAACCATTTTTCAGCCTGAGGTTCACAACCTCCCAAGGCCATGTTCCAGTGGTGCATTGAGACAAAGGCACAAGTGGTGAATGATAGACCCAGGGGTCATTTACTCCAACCCCCTGCAATGCAGGAATCTCAACACTTAGCCCCCTTTCCAATTTGAAGCCATACCAGACCCTGCTTAGCTTTGCAAATGTGCTAGAAGTTTTATTGCTACACTACTAGGAGAACTGAATATAAGTGTTACCTTTGTACCAGAAGCTAGTTCCCATATGCACTGACACACCACACACACACACACACACACACACACATCTAGGCATGCAAGAGGCACCACAGCCCATAACGGGTGTATGTGTAAGCGAGTGCACGAACTATTTTGATTAAAAATCAAGACTGTTCCCTTTTTGTTATCCCATGAGGTAGAGAACAATGGTGCACGAAGGACAGGAAGGCGACTCTGAGGTCTGGTATTGCAATCCCAGATGGTCATGCAACTTGGAGAGACTTGGGAGGACCAGAAATGCGGTCAGAGTTCAAGGTCTCTGCTGTGACCGCAACCTACTTCTGCAGAAGTTGCTAAATTGTTAAGGGCACCAGGGTGTTTGCCCACTCAAAATAGTCTGATTAACTTGAGTTTTATGCCCCCATATATATATATAAACTTTGGCCTGTAGCGTATTGCAGAGCAAAGGTAGCACATGAGAGTTTATTCATCCTGTTATCTGCTTAGCCTTATCTAAACATAAGAACAGCCAAGTTGCTGGATCAGGCCAAAGGCCTACCTAGTCCAGCATCCTCTTTTCACAGCCATGTGCCTCTGAGAATCCTGCAAGCAGCACTTGAGCGCAACAGTATTCTCTCCACATGTGGTATTCAGAGGCATACTGCCTCCAACTGTGGAGGTGGGGCATCTGATTATGTTCAAGTTTATAGTACATAAACAGGGTGCAATGCACAGGCTGAAGGGCCCCTGTCACTGCCTAGAGGACCAAGGACCACTGGGTAGTTGCAGCTGTTCTTCCCAATTACATGGGCTTTAGATTGGAAGGACAGATCCTGAAGCTGAGGCTCCAGTACTTTGGCCACCTCATGAGAAGAGAATATTCCCTGGAAAAGACCCTGATGTTGGGAAAGATGGAGGGCACAAGGAGAAGGGGACAACAGAGGACAAGATGGTTGGACAGTGTTCTCGAAGCTACCAGCATGTTTGACCAAACTGCAAGAGGCAGTGGAAGAATGGAGTGCCTGGAGTGCTCTGGTCCATGGGGTCACGAAGAGTCAGACATGACTAAATGACTAAACAACAACAAGATCCAGGTGAGACATAAGTAAGCCCTTCTGCTTATGGGGCACAATCAGCTTGTGGAACTCACTGCCACAAGGTGTGGCGGCAGACCCTAACTTAAGGGATGAGAAAAATGCATGGACCTGTCCAATGCTAACCCTACTCGGAGTAGACCCACTGAAATTGATGGCCATGGCTAACATAGGTCCATTTATTTCCATGGGTAGGACCTGATACAACCTTATTAGTCTTTATGTGGAGCTTCCATCTTGTGAGGCAGTCTATCTTTAATTGGTATTACTTTAATTGTTATCAATCAGTACATGGATAGCTCCGTTGGTTAGATCACGGTGCCGATAATGCCAAAGTTGCAGGTTCGATCCTTGTAAGGGACAGCTGCATATTCCTGCACTGCAGGGGGGTTGGACTAGATGATCCTCAGAGTCCCTTCCAACTCTTACTGGAGGTTTTTTAAAAAGTTGCTTTGCATACAATTCTGTAGCGGAGGAGGGAAACAACAAAGGCCTATTTTTTGGCCTCCCATAATCATCTGCCTGGCAACTGCTGGAAAGGAGATCCTGGTTAAGACTAAGGCTGGGGAGCTTGTGGCCTTCCAGATGGTGGGATTCCAACTCCCATCAGCCCCTGCCAGCAAGGCCAATGGTCAGGGGTGATGGAAACTGTAGCCCCAACAACACTGAATAGGCCAAGGTGTCCCCATCCCTGGAAAGAGTCTTGAACTGAGTCTTGGGCACCTTCTTGTACCCGTATTAGCTCTGTGTAATTTGGGATATAAACTGCCTTTGCAGAAGTAGTTTGCAGTGGTACCTCCAGTTAAGAACTGAATTCATTCTGGAGGTCCGTTCTGAACCTGAAACTGTTCTTAACCTGAAGCACCACTTTAGCTAATGGGGCCTCCTGCTGCTGCTGCGCTGCCGGAGCATGATTTCTGTTCTCATCCTGAAGCAAAGTTCTTAACCCGAGGTACTATTTCTAGGTTAGCAGCATCTGTAACCTGAAGCGTCTGTAACCCGAGGTACCACTGTACCTCCAAATGCCAAATGCTGGGAAGTGACCGTGGGGAAGCTCCATGGTCTTCCCAGAGGCACCCTTGGCTGCCCACTGTCGGAAGCAAGACACTGGGGCTTGGAGGGACCTTTGTCCTAATCTCTGGCAGGGCTGCTCGGAAGTTCTCCCACGCCACCAGTTTTGAGAGAGACCCAGATATGACCCACATTAATACCACGAAGAGGTTAAAACTCTCCTCTTGCCTCCTCCTCACCCCGTGACTCATGGAACAGTCACTTTTAGTTCTGAAGAAAAGATTTCAAATAGCTTGAACTTTCCCCTCCAAAGTCCCAGCTGCAGCAGATTCTGGGCCCACCCCTCCAGTAGATTGGATCACACTCCCATCACCTTCAGCTGTGAGACCTCTCCTAGTCTCCATATATATATATCTAGAGAGAGAGAGAGAGAGGAGAGGGTCTGCAAAGGTCCAGTTAGCTTTGGTGTTGTATTACCGGTAGGTTTGTTTGTCTACTTCAGCCATGCCTGCTGATTTCAATGGCACCTGGAACCTTGTCAGCAGTGAGAACTTTGAAGGCTACATGGTGGCCTTAGGTAAGCTGAAATATAGATTGATTTTTCTCTTCCTCTTTGACTGTTTGCTTTATGTTGGAAACTGTTCCTCTTTGTGCAGAATGTCCCCCACCCCTTTCCTCAGCCAGAAGCTGTATATGTAGTTGTTTGAACTCTGCAATATATTATGGGTGTTTTGATTTTTGTTTTTATTATAAAAAAGTTTGTATCTAATCACTGCTGATTCTCAACTCTGAGTTCCTTGAGTTATTTACTCAGAAGTAAGGTCTGTTGAATTTGGGGCTTGGCTCTTGAATAAGTATGTGCAGAATTGCTGGTTTCCCTAATGTTGAATTGAGGAATCCAAGCATTCTGTATCTTGGAGGATTAACTACATGTATTTCTGAATGGAAGTCCCTTTCCAGGCAAGGAGCTGGAGTCTCTTCTCCCTCCCCTGCTTTGCTATTGTAACAATCCTGTGACGTAGACCTACATCAGTGAGTATAGGAGTTTATTTTGAAGGAAGAGCTGGGCAAATTCAAAGTCTCCTTCTGTTTCTGTGCAAGGATGTACAGTAATTTGCTGGAAACACTTGGTGTTTCAAATAAATTGAATGCATTTTATAGGGGAGAGGCCAACACCTTGGTGATCATCTGAGCTTATGTGGGAATTAATATTATCCAAATTGCTTCTTGGTGTTGCTCTGGACACACCTGGTCTTCTCAACCTTCATTCTCTAGCTAAAATTAGGATTACAGTCTCCTTAGTGAGTTGTCTCAACAACAGTGTTTGGCAACACAAGTGGGTCAGGTCTAATGTTTGCAGCCCTGTGCTTATGAAGTATACAAGCTCTTGAGCTCAGGGCAGCCACACACACATGGCTTCCTTTTTTTCACTCAACAACCTTGTAAGGTATGGTTAGGTTGTGAGAAAATATTGCATAATGAGACCTCAAAGTGGAGAGTTGAACTAGGGCTCTATCATTTCAAATCAAACACAGCAACCGCTATGCCACACTGGCCCCACAGCAGCTACTAGTTCACCTACGTTGACAAAGAACCAATTCCAAGTGGCTAGACCAGTGGTTTTCACCCTGGGGTGCCTTGAAATGATGGTCAGGGGTGCCGCAGGCAACCCTGGCCTCTGTCCCTCTTTCCTTCCCTCCCTCCTCTGATGCCCCCTCATGTCTCTGCCTCCCAAAGGCTTGCACAACTGTTTGTTGCAGCAGCCCTGGCTACAAGCAACACAGGCAAATGGTGCCTTTGGGGCTGGGCAGGGGGTGCTGGTTGCCAGGAGCTGAGGCGGCTCAGAGATGGGGGGGGGCCTGCAGGGGCTGCCTGGAGGACTTCCAAGAAGAGGGGAGAGGAGGCTGAGGGAGCACTCCACAATCTTCTGTGCCAACCTAAAAGTTTGCAATAATGTTTCCCAATAATTCAGACGTCTGACCCATTTATTCTGGCTCAAATGAGTAACCTTATTTCAACACTGGGCTGAAGAAGTTGAGGAATTGATTTCACACTTGCCACACTTTCCTGAATGAGTTGTTCCAAGAATATGTATTTCTCTCCCACCACCCCCTAAACACTTTTTAACAAAGCTAATTGGTCTCCATTAATCCTAAGGTACGGGTCTTCTTATCAGTCTGCCAACTTCCAATCTTCAAAGGCAAAAGCCACCGGGGCAGTGGTCTGACCAGGACTCAGATTATCTAGGTTTGGGCAGGTGAGGGGTGGAGTGGGAATTTAGTGGCAAATCTGAAAGTTCAAGATCCCTTCATGATGGTCACAGTCACACCCCTTTTATGACTAGACAGCCTTATAAGATGTATTAGTGATGCCTTGCAACCAGCAATGTCACTATGTTGCCTTTCAGATAGATCTACCATCTTCTGGGGAAAGGATTCGAACTGCCCCATTATATTATTTTGTAATGACTTTAAGTTGTGCTTTCTTTGAAGTTCCATTGCACAGAACAGAATATCCACACCATTCTCTTGAAACGAAAGCACCTTGCGTTTTCAGTGTTTATAAGTGCCTGGCTTCTGCAACATGGAAGTGGCATCCATTTCATGCTGATAGGGCAGCTCTGGAAGGCTGCAGGCATGGACCCTGCAACAGAAATAGTAATGGGTCTTTGACCCCATTCCCCATGACCCTGGACCACTATACCACTGGGTGGGAAGTAGCAGTTGTGGCATAGCTGAGTGGTAGCATGTCTGCTTTGCATGCTGTTGGTCTTGGGTTCAGTCCCTGGCATCTCCTGGTATGGCATGGAATTTCCTCTGGCTGATACTTTGGAGAGCTGTTGCCAGTCAGCGTAGGTAGTGCTGAGATAGATGGACCAGTGGTCTGACTCGATAAAAGGCAGCTTCCTGTGATCGGAAAATCAAATGTGTTCTGTCTAAATAACCTGGATGCAACTTCTCTCTGTGCAAAGGTATCGATTTTGCCACCCGCAAGATAGCCAAAATGCTGAAGCCTCAGAAGGTCTTCAAACAAGATGGGGACTCCTTTTCCATCAGCACAACCAGCACTTTCCGCAGCTATTTAGTCGAGTTCAGGATTGGAGAGGAGTTTGAAGAAGACAACAAAGGCTTGGACAATAGAAAATGCAAGGTATTGAGGACTGGAGAATGCCTCTCTCTAAGCAGGCAGCTTTAACTGAAATAATCTTGCCATCCTTCCCCCTGCCCTCCAGCCAGGAAGGGATGTGGATGCATGCACGGAGGATGTCTGGGCGGGGGGAGCGGGATTCAATAATTTGTGGTACCCAATTCTTGTTTATGTATGAGTGCATTGTGATATTACACAAGTATGGGTCAGGACACTGCATAGTCTGACTTTCTGTCCACTATACTGATAAGCTCAGGCTGGTAGACAACGTTATTAAAAAAAAAAAAATCCTAGGTGGTACAATGGGACAGTGCATCTGGCTCTTAACCAGAAGGTTGGTGGTTCGAGCCCACCCGGAGGCAGGATTCCTGCACTGCATGGGGTTTGGACTAAATAACCCTCAGGGTCCCTTCCAACTCTGATTCTATTAAAATAACATTTATTTTCCAGCACTGTCCTCTTATTCTTCAATACTTTGGCTATGTACACACTGCACCTGTGAAGCCTTTCTTCCTCGCCCTACAGAATTAGGGCACTGTAGTTTAAGGGTTGCTGGGAATTGTGCCCAAAATTCTTTGAGGGAACGAATGTGCTTCATCAAGGTGTACACACCAGAACCTTTTTTGCTCTTCTGTTCATCTGGATGCTACTTTCAAGAACCCTTAGCTTGCATTAATTGTTATGGGCTTATTGTAAGCTGCCCTGTTAGAAGGTGAGGCATAAAGCTAAACGTCATAAACAGGGCCAAGCTAGCCATTGTTGGGGTGGGAGCAAAATGGTGGGCCTATGGAAAGTGTTTGACATGACAACAGTGGAGTTGGGTTAATTGAAATGGATAGGGCACTGCCCCACCAACCTTGGACTGCCCTCAGACAGCCCACCCCTATGTGCCTCACAGACAGTTTGGAGGGTGGCCCTGCCTGTTATCTTCCTTCTCCTTAGTCTCTGTGTTGCCCTTGTATAATTTGTTGACCCTTGGAGCAGAACCTGTGAGATGAACTGCGCCTTGAATATTTTTGACCCTTCTCCTCCCCTGCAGAGTGTGGTTAACTGGGACGGTGACAAGATTGTTTGTGTCCAGACTGGAGAGAAGAAGAACAGAGGCTGGACCCACTGGATTGAAGGAGATGACCTGTACCTGGTAAGTTGTTACAGGGGTGTCTAGCTAGGGTTGCTTTGAAGGTAAGCCAGCTAGATAGATAGATACTCTGGAGCCAGGGGATGTTGACTCTGTATGCTTTGCATATGGGTCTTCCTATTTGAAGGGCCCCCCTACGACCACACCTCAGCCATGTTTCATGCTTGAGATAGCCAGTGAGTCCTCTGGCCTACTCTCCCCCTGCCCAATGTGAGCAGCCAGGGGCTTTTAACAGCTGTTGCATCAATAGCTTGTGTGTTCTTCACTTGAGATGGGAATTGGCAGCCAAGGTCTCTGCTATTTATATGCACTGGGGAGAGAGCTAATGAGCCTTTTGTCTTGGTGGGATTGAGTTGGCCAATCGGTAAAGCCTAGGATACTGCTACATTTAGGTCAAAAATCTGCTTTCATGCATAAGATCCCATGTTCAATTCTCAGCATCTCCAGGAAGGACTGGGAGAGACCTCCTGTCTAAAACCCTGGAGAGCTGCTGCCAGACAGTGTAAGCAATACTGAATTGATGGACCCATGGGTTTGATTTGGTGTACAGCAGCTTCATGTTCTCTTGTTCCTAACTGATGTCTCCTTGTGCAGGAACTCCGATGTGAAGACCAAGTCAGCACGCAGGTTTTCAAGCGAGCGTGAAGCTGATTCTTGCGATATCCCCCAAATGACAACAGCGCAGAGAACCACGTACAGGAGCGTTTATGCATAACGGCACTTCAGACATGGAGTGCTAACTGAAAAGGCAGCTTTACAGGTCAAACCTTCTTCCTCCATTCCTGGTGCTCTTTTTGTAATAGCATTTCAACCTGATCCTTTGGAACAAACGTAACTGTTAACCTGCACTAACCACGTAACTTCATTAAAAAAAAAAAGATGACTGTTTGCAATACTACTTAGGAGTCTACAGCTTTTTGTTAAGAGTACTGTACTATTTTTCTAAAAATGCCCTTTGGGGATATAAGACTATATATGTGGAATTCTCGGTTGCAGGTGTGTATACCTATGCCAGCTGCATACCATACATTCAAAGCACCGCTTTAAATATCCATGGCCTTCCCCCAAATATTTTTGGGAGGTGCAGCTTAAGTGTCTGGGACTTGCAGGGTTCTGACCAGTGTGTGACAGGGGCAGGGGGCTGGAGCGGCCAGCAATTTACGGGGTTTTGTGCCACCCACAAGGCAGTAGCCAGGGCAGGAGGAAGGGGAAGAGTCTGAGTGATCAGAAGCAAGTGTTTGGAGGGGGTGGGGTGCAGCACATGGTCAAAGCAGAGGAAGAAGCTGTTCAGGTGAGGGGTGGGCAAACTGAATCCCCTCTGTCCCCTGCCCTGCTGTCTCCTAGGAACAGGAGGGGCTTGAAAAGCAAGCACAGCAGCAACTTCCATGTAGAAGTGTTTGCACACACTCCATCAGATGAGGCTATTTAAGCCTGGGAGAGCGGGGGCCTGGTCCCACTATGGCTTCAACTGTTCAGCCAGAGCACAAGCCTGAGAAAGTTAATTCCAGCTACATAGCTACAAGAAGTATGTGTATGTGTTTATTTTCTGAGCACCTTAGGAACTGCTTTGGTCAAGAAAGAATTAAACCACTGGCCATTTTCCCTCCTTGGCTGGGTGTTCTCAGGACAGAGAATGCTGAGCATTGTTAGGAGATCCCTATTCCCCTCACAGAGCAGCAATCCCCAGAGTAATTTCACAACCAATCCATCTTCCAGTGAACTGAGAATTCTCTCTCTCTCTCTCTCTCTCTCTCCCCGTGTGTGTGTGTGTGTGTGTTTGCCTCTGGCCCTGCCTTCCGTTAGGTATGTGGCCTTTCCCTCATGTGCGACCTAAGCCAACCTGGCCCTCAGGCTGGAAAATACTCTGCACCCCTGCTTTAAGGCAAATCAAGCATTACATGATGAGAAACTCAATAAGCTAGTTGCTGGTGAATTAACTTTTCTGCAGAAATTTCTGATCACCAGACAAGGCCCCGCAGCTCATTATTTCTTAGTACAAGTTGGTAGAAGCTTGAGATGGATGCAAGTTGTGACCCACAGTTTGGCAATACCTTTAATAGGACTAACCAAAATATCTTAACTGTGGCAAGCTTTTGAGGACCTCTGGGCTCTTCAGCACAAGTCATGCCCCCATTGCAAATTTAAAGCAGATGTCCTGCGCCCTGCCCAAACACAAAAGAATCCCATTATTTCCTAAGAGTGTTGGGAAGATCTATGAGGGGGAAGCTACAGCTCCCAAGATTTTTTAGGGGAAGTGGTATGCTTTAAATGTATAGTGTGAATGTGACCACAGCCTCTCTTAGAGGAAGGAAAAAACCCAACAGTTCAGTGTCCTTGCCATTAGGTGGCACCTCTGCTACGTTATGGAAAGAAACTCGGCTAGAGATTTTTGGAAGTATTGTGAACAGATGACTGAGTCGTTCAGACTACCTTGAAGAACCTTCCTTAAACTAACAAGCAGCTTAAGTCCCTGCATTTTTTTAATAACAGAAGAGCATGTCTTTGACTTCATCCCCCCCCCATTGTGCTTTGAGAGAAAGAAGTTTGTTTTTTTAAAAAAATCAGGTATGAAAAAAACCGCTCTTATATGCAAGAGTGGGGTTTGCTTTGACGTGTACATAAGCACTGACCCAGCACACAAGGCTGCAGCAACTAAGAAAGATGTTTGTTTTCCAGTAAACATCAGAGGGCACCATTGGCTTAATTCACATTGAGTGATAGTGTGGTGGCTTTTCCTGTGGGTCAATGGCCCTTTATAGAGCAAAGGTACCATCACCCCATATTAACAGATGATAAAATCGGTTTTGGACTACTGTATGACCTGACTGAATGTGCCTCCATGTAAAAACTGCCCAATTAATTTTCCTCCAGATAAATTAGGCACTATACTGTACAGACTTACCTAGTTGGGGAGTACGGTAATTGACAGAGTTGAACTGATGTACATAAGCACTCCAATAATTTAGGTTTTATTTAGTGCTGGTGTTGCTCACAGTAAAACCATTGACAATGAATATGAATAATTTAGGTCCATTAGTTTCAATGGTGTACTTTGACTATAACTTAGTGTGGTATTACCCTTAGTGTTCAAGGGTGTGCCTCTCAGACCCTTTGGTTTTTTACCCCCTTTGCACAGAGCAAAGTCCTGTTTTTTATTTAAGTACTGTATACATGTCCTGTCATTCGGCAGCACATTCCTCCATTCTCAGGCTGGTTCACCGTTTCTTTTTGCTTATTAAGTGAATAATTAAAACAAAAAAACAAATAAAATGACAAGAGCATAAAACAGTGAGGGGGGGGAGTGGCAGGTTAAAAGCAATCCAAATCACATTTTTAAAAGCTTGGGATCAAGGAAAAAGGTCTTCACATGATGAAATGAGTGTCAGGCAACCTTCTTTGGGATCAGGGATGAAGAGGTGTGGGTACCACAGTTGATAAGGCCTTTTCACTCTGTGGCTGTTGCTCGCTTATTCTCAGGGTTTATATTATTAAACCTATATTACTCACAGATGTCATGGGTTTCTCCCTGCCAGCTCCCAGCGGTTAGGATCACAAGGGTCATCTAGTCCAACCCCCCCCGCCCGCAATGCAAGAATCTTTTGCTCAATATGGGGCTTCAACCCACAACCCTGAGATTAAGAATCTCCTGCTCTACAAACTGAACTACCAAGGCAGACAAGGAATCTTTAAAGGTTCAAACAGGCTCCTTTACTGTACTCTTTCTGTTGCTTAAGACTACTTTCGTTGTTTGTAACTGCGTATTCCACCCCCCACACCCAATGTTGAGAGCTACCTTGGGCATGGTTTCACCCATGGAAAAGCAGCATACAAACAAAATTGTGCATGTATGACTAGCTTTTGTAGTACGGAAACCTCACGGGACTCGAATCAGACAACATTGCACCACATCGCCACCCCTCAAGCGCGCCTGAGGATGCTCTCCCCCCCCCCATCCCGGGTAAATGAAAACAAGGACTGAAATATTGATTTGTTAAATATCCACTGTTGGGAGCATAGATGGAACAGAGTGTGAAAGCGTTCCCCCGCATCTAAGACACGAGAAACAAAAATAAAAGGACTACTGGGGGTTTCAAGCATTTTATTACCAATTTATTCCAATTTTGCTGGAATTTTTATTTTGGCTTGTTAACGTGCATAATCGTCCAAAAATACATTGTTATTCAAGTAAATGAAGAGTTTCGAGTCCTATCGCTCTGCCTTTGCATAAGACAGCCCCTCCCCCAGCTCTCTTTCCCGCTTCAGCAAAAGCTTTTCTCCACGCCATTCATCGCAGCATTTCGCGCCTGCCCCGCCCCTGTTGCTATGGCGCAACCAAACAGGCCCCACCTCCCGCTTTTAGTCCCTCCCACCCCGAGCTTAGCTTCTTGTAGTAGGTGACAGTGATTGGGGGCGGGCAAGCGGCGGAGGCCTCCCCTCCCTCTTCTTATTGGTCAGTACCAGGGCGCACGCGGGGACGCTTCGGCCTGTGGACCGAAAGACGATGAAGGGTGGAGCGGCGGCGGCGCGGGTGCGAGGAGGAGGAGGAGGAGGAGGCGTGCCATCCGCAGCGCGTGGACTGCTGGGCGGGAGAAGGCGGAGCCTCTTTCTTATTGCACCTCCCTCTCTGCTCCGCGATTGGGCGCCTTCCCTGCGCTCGTTGGGCTGGTTGGTGGGAGGAGCCTCCTCTCTCTTTGGCCTCCCGCACTTAAAGCGCGCGAGCGCAGGGACGCACGGTCGCGTAAGCTCTGGTTGGCTGGCTATCTTGCAGCCGTACGCAAAGAGGCGTGCGGAGAACCGCCTGGAGGAAAGAGAGAGAGCGCGCGCGCGCGAGGGAGAGGAGGGGAGAGGTCAAGTGATCCGACGCCAAGATGGCCGCCGCTGCCTCCTTGTTTTGATGAATAATCTCTGTGTGGGGAGGCAGAAGCAGCGTCTGCAGCAGCTGAGGGAGAAGAGTGTGAAGGGGCAGCTCTGAGGGAAGTGTGTTGGTGGCTTGCCGAGAGGTGTAAGGCCAGTCATTGGCGCGGGCTTTCCCCACCACCACCCTCTTTCCACACTGCCTCCTTTTCTCTGCAGCCCCAGCCAAGCTAGGCACCTGGAGAATTCAAGGGGCTTAGGTGGAAGAGAAGGTGGCTTAAGCTGGGGCCGCGTGCGAGGCGAAAGGGAGGCAGCTGGCTAAACTGGGGCTTCAGGTTAGGCAGCCGACTAAGAGGGGACTGTTGTAATATATAGCTGGTGGCAGGGCGCTGTATTCATATATCTATCTATATATTGAATATACTGTATAGGAGCCAGCAAGCAGCTTGGGGCTTCTAGCAGGGGGAGAAAGAGCCGGACCTATCTTATGTGTATATATGGGACTAATAGGGTTTCCTGGGTATACGGAAGGCAGCCTGCGATTGGGAACTGGGGATAGTCAGCAAGCGGAAGGCTCTCTGCCGTGTTTGGTGGACGGTGAGCAATAGGAGCTTCTTGTGATACGAGGCGGTATCTTGCTGACCTGGGGAGCTTTTAGGGTTTGTAGGAAGGTCCATAACAGGCGGCAGGGTGCCACTGAGGCTTTAGGACAACTGGGGGACAGTGAGCAGTGAGTTTTCTGGGATCGGTCAGAGGCTGCTTGGTAGGCCACCTGGGGTGCCTGGAGTGTGGAGAAAAAAGGTCAGTGGGACCCAAGGCAGGAAGCAGGAGCTAGGATCCTAGGGGGTTATCGGCAGCCTGTGGAGGGAGGCTTTTAAAGCTGGGGCTACCAAGGAGATAGCTTCAGGTACAGGAAGGGGTAAGGTCTGGAGGTTTAGATAGGAGTGGCTTATGCGTGTGTTAATAATCATTTAGTTGACTAGCAAACCAGAGAGAAACAGCCTCTGCCCAAGAACAGGGGAAGTATATTCTGTAGTGGTGGTCTTTACCTCTAACTATGCAATTCTGAAACGTCCCTAGGGAAAGAGGCAGCACGACAGGATTTCCCTTAAAGACACACTCTCCCACAAGCACGCCCCTCAAGGGAAGTACAGAGCTCCCCTTCCCCCAAACTCCTTTCACCATTAAGAGGAAAACAATGGAGGAGCTGAGCGCTGATGAGGTGAGTTTAAGGATTGTTGACTGAACAGCGGATGATGTGGGAAGGGAGGTTGGGCACCAGGATATATCCTGCAGGTAAATGGTTCTACTGAAGGGGGTTTGCCATGGGGATTTGTGGAGTCCCACAATTTCTGCAAAAGTGAATAAATTTGTATGTGGACCTTGGAGACCAGAGTTCAAGTCATCACTCAGCTATGAAACTTGCTGGGTGGCCTTGGGCCAGTCACTTGTCTGTTTGCCTAACCTACCTTGCAGTGTTGTTGTGGAGATAAAATGGTGAGAGGGGAACTATATGTTTGGGCAGGAGTTTTGATTCCCTAGCTAGAGTGCTAGAATGCCTCTTGATATAAATGTAGTAAATGATAACAGATTAGTTTTGCTATTTTGGATAAATGCAATAGTAATATAATGGTCTTGTGTTGCATTTTCTCCCCGCCACTTTTTGGACACACCTCACCCTACTTAAGTCTGCAATTATATAGAGGGTGGGGTTGTTTTTAATCCCTTCTTTTCTTCATAGTTGGGTATTCACCTATGTTGAGTATCACATGTCAGAGTTTTCTTACTTGGAGAGAGAAACTTTTTAAAGGTGTGTTTTGGTTTATTGAACGTCTAACGCTTGACAGTACTTTGTGCTTAAAGGGAACTTTTCAGTTTACATTATTTGATACTGAGGGATAGATAGCTATTTTCCCATTGGGGTGGCATGCTACCAGGGCCATTTTTACCTCTTTGTTCACATAACGTCTTGGACTTCTCCTTTGACCAAGTTGTCTATGAAAGAAAGGTGTATGTGGGGACACACAACAGGTCTCCTTCTCAACAGAAGCATGTAGATGTTAGGCTTCTATTTAAAGCTTTGGCTTCAAATTCAGAGTTGTAAGTTTTTTTCAGGTGGGAACCCACAGTGTGAGAGGTGCTAGTATGATTGCTTATGGAATGATTCCAGGGTTGTTGGATACTGTCCTGGTGAGGTGTTTCTTGAGAGTACTTCCTGTCTTACTAAGAGGATGTCCTGTATTTTATTCAGACTTAATTATGAAGTTTAAACAAAAACAATTTAAACTTCAAAAAATAACCACAATGAGGGAATCTTTTCTATCTACACATTGATATTTCCATCTTGTTTAATTCCAGTCTTTCATGATCTCTCTCTCTCCATCCTTTCCCCTTCTGCCAGGGTGGTATTTTGTTGCTTTTTTAAACAAAAAACAAAGGATTTTTGGATCTTATTCATTGCAGAAGCATTCACAGCTACTTAATCAGTTGCTTTATACCAGCAAGCTCTTTCTGCACACTTTGACACATTGGTAGTACATTGGCCCAAGGTAAGGCCATGTGAGCTTACTTTATACAGTGGTGCCTCGCAAGACGAAAATAATCCGTTCCGCGAGTCTCTTCGTCTAGCGGTTTTTTCGTCTTGCGAAGCAACCCTATTAGCGCTATTAGCGGTTTAGCGGCTTAGCGGCTATTAATGGCTTAGCGGCTAAAAGGCTATTAGCGGCTTAGCGGCTTAGAAAAAGGGGGGAAAGCGAAAAAAATCGCAAGACTCGCAAGACGTTTTCGTCTTGCGAAGCAAGCCCATAGGGAAAATCGTCTTGCGAAGCAACTCAAAAACGGAAAACCCTTTCGTCTAGCGGGTTTTTCGTCTTGCGAGGCATTCGTCTTGTGGGGCACCACTGTATTGTAGTTTTGATGTAGGTGAAAATACTTTGAGAAGCTAGCTTGGATGCTTTCATAACTTGCCATGAAGCAGGCTTTTCCCATGTGAGTAATCTGTCTTATTTTTTTTAAATTTTAAAATAGCTTTTAAGCTGCCCTTCATGCACAGAAATACTGGATCAAAATAGTGAATACAAAATTGTCAAATCATTTAAAAGAAGCAAGAAGGTGCAGTAGAAACGCCTTCAGACAAATAAAGTACCTAAAAACAACTGAATATTTTAGGCCAAGCATGCCCAAAGTCCATTTCGAGGGCATAATCTGGCTCGCCGGTTGGTTTAATCCGGCCCCTGCCGCAGTTTATTTCCTGGGGTAAAATCCTAAAAAAGCCTCAACTTTAATCCTTAGAAAAAAAAGATCAACAACTTTGGTTGGCCCTTTGGTCGGCCCTCATGGTCCTTCACTTCATCAAACCCTCTTTGAAAAAAGTTTGGACATCACTGGTTTAAGCAGTTATTACAGTTATTTATTAGATTTTTTCCCTGTACCACACTTTGAGGTTCCAGGGCAAGTTATGATAATTTAAAAATACACTAATAAAATAAGTTTAAAGAATTTTATTTATTCATTTGTTATTTTATTAGCAGTTCGAAAGCACGTCAAAGTGCAAGTAGATAAATAGGTACTGCTCTGGCAAGAAGGTAAACGGTGTTTCTGCGCGCTGCTCTGGTTCGCCAGAAGCGGCTTAGTCATGTTGGCTACATGACCCAGAAGCTATACGCCGGCTCCCTCGGCCAATAAAGCAAGATGAGCACCGCAACCCCAGAGTCGGTCATGACTGGACCTAATGGTCAGGGGTCCCTTTACCTTTACCTTGTTATTTTATATATTTCTATACTGCCCTTCATTTGAGGATCCCTGAGAGCATTCCACAAATGAGGAACCACTTCCAAAAAGGCCCGTTACTGTGATCTCTTGTGGATAAGGCGCAGGAAGAAGAGTCTCAGATGATGATTGCAGAGTCTGGGTCGGTTCATAGGGAGAGAGGTGGTCCTTGAGGTATTGTGGTCCTGAGCCATGTAAGGCTTTATAAGTAAAAACCATCACTTTGAATTGGGCTCAGAAACTAATTGGCTTGGAAATTGTGGTCAAGAGAATATGGTGGGAAACTGAAAATGCCAGAGCACAAATAAGTCTTGTTATCAGCACTGGACTGATAACTTTAGTGCCAGTCATGCGTATCAGAGAACAGCATTCCACAGATGGTGCCTTACCATGGAGAAGGAATTATTCCATATCATTACGTGGTGAGTTTGTAATGGTGGAATATGGAAATGTGCTTCCACCAAAAATCTCAAGACATGGGCAGGCTGGTTATAAGGAGAGGTACTCCTTCAATTGTTTGAGTCCTGAGCTCTTCATGGCTTTAAAGATGAGCATAGCATTTACTATATGTAGTTCCTGCTTTTTACCATTTTTTTCAAGGTAGTTCACAAAAAAAAAATTATTTAAAACTGGAGTTGGTGATGACAAAAATAAGGGAAACATAAAATAGTGGAAACTCTGGAAGTGTCAGGTATAATTAAAATAGAAAAGGCACAGTGAAATAAGGTCTTTACTCCTTTCCGAATGAGAGAAATTCTGTGTGTTCCTGACTGTAAGTAGGAGTGAATTCCATAATTTTGGAACCACCATGAGAAAGCACTGCTTTTACCGCACCCCAAACAGGTTCTTGCCTCTTTTCATAGGCTTGAATTTGGTAGCTGGTGCGTACAGTAAAACTCTCCACCGCAACCCGCGGACAGGCTATTCCCATGCTGTCTGCGTTACAATAAAGGAGAGACAAAGTTAAAAAAAAAAGGGGGGCTGCTTTTCATGAATAAAGTTCCTAACTGATGGAACATCATGGGACATGGCCTGAATTGTTCAGACTGCAAATTCTCATCAGCTGTGTCCAATGGAACATACTTCCAAGTACACAGACGTGGGCTTGCACTAAAATTCAAGTAACAAAGAATGGACTGCTAATCTGGAGTAGCAGTACACTGACCACATAGAATTAATTCTAGTGTTATCTTAGTTTGCCTTGATGTCAGAATTGAGCAGATTTGGTTTGAAGGCAATCTGGGTTAGAGAGAGGGGAGGAAGATATAAGTGAGTCCATGCCACATTTTCAGTCTTCCGAACTTTTGGAGAATGCTAACATGACATCTAAATTCAGCCCTTTTTGTGAATTACCTTTATTGGTTGCTTGAATATTCATAGAAGGCAGCAGTTTGGAGGCTTGAAACTATGTGTTATCTACTTACAGGTTTGCCAATGGCAACGAGAAATACACAACTCCCACCCCAGTTTTTCAGTAAAACCTTGCTAGGGAATGAGTGAAGATGGGGGCCATAGGGCCTAGGCAATGGTAAAATGTGTGGTTTGAACACAGAAAGTCCCAGGTTCAATTCCCGGCATCTCCAGTTAGGGCTGGAGGAGTCTTCCTCTCTGAAACCTTGAAGAGCTGTTGCCAAACAGTATAGAATAGATAGACAGTGCTGAATTAGATGGATCAATAGTCTGACTTGGTATAAGGTAGCTTCTTGTGTTCATATGACATGCACTGGAGAAGTAGTTGGAAAGTTAAACTTCATTGGCTAGTAGAAACAATGATTGGCTACTAAACAAAACCAAAATGTCTGGACGCTTGGGTTTGCTTTGTGCAGGTGTATGTGGGGATGCAGTAAGTCAGCCCCTTGGTGGCCTGCTATATCATATGAGCAAATTACTGGCAAATCTGCTTTTACATGCCAAATATGGATCTTGATTTGGGTTCCCTTTGGTACTTAGAATTTGAACATTTCCCTATAGGATACATTGAAAGATAATTGTCAGGGCAGTAGAGTAAATTTCCCTGTCGAGCTTTGGCATTCATTTTTCTGAAGTATGTCTACGATGAGCATCTGTTAGGCATGGTTTTAGGTCCAGACTGTTTGCTATTTAGGTCACACCATGTATCATGTTTTGAGGTGATGTAGAATCTTGGGAATCAAGTTTTTCTCCCCAGTTTAAAAAAACGTGTTTCTTGTCTTCATTGTTGTGGAAATCCATTTGCATACTTTTTGGGTTCATTTCTGGATCCAGTTCAAGGTTTTCACATTAGTGTTTAAAGCCCTGAATGACTCAGACCCCCAATACCTGAAAGACCACCTCCTTCCCTACAGATCTTCTCAGGTGCAAAGTTCATGGGGGATGGGGCTCTTTCGTGGTTCCGCTGCCTTCAGAAGCAGTGGTGGCAGCAGCCTGGGAGAGGCCTTCTCTGTGGCAGCCCCTAAGTTGTGCAAAATGACGTCA